TAATCTGAATACCTTTTCTTTTCCAGTGTAGCATAGTAGTGTCATGCGTTGCCTCTGTAGTGAGGGACCCATCACAAAGTTCAGATTTGGAGCTGAGCCTCAACCAGTATATGGTTGTTATGATCCATGTTTTTTGTGCAGGTCCTTCCCCAAAGGTAGATAGGATTTCAACAGGCCACTCTTAACATCGTTAAGGATGCATAACTCAATAACCCTGTGACTCCCAAGCGCTTTAGACCAGTGAACCACTGTCAGCCATTGATGTCTTGCAAACTCCCCAGCCTCATATAGAGCCTGGGACACAAGGTGACAGGGCAGAGACATAAGGGGTTTCAGTCAAGGTCCCTGTCATACCAAAGTGACAGGTTCATATGTGTTGCTGTTTAGTATTTTCCTAGAGCATGAAAGGACTATTTATTAGGACCTTAAGGATGGCAAGGGATCAGCCACAGTTTGGAAACTACAGCAATGTAAAGAAAAATCCAAAGATCTGCTGTTAGGAGTCAGCTTCACTGCTTGCCAGTGCTGGCGAGCACCTGGTCAGGCCTTCGGCAGGCAATATATGGCCATAGCTCTTCATCAGCCAGCGTGATGAAGTTAGTTTTGTTCAACTGGAGACAGGAGCATGTGGCTCCTGAAACCCAATTATCTGAAAATATGCTTTGTGCATTGCTAATAAGAGAGGGAAATAGTGCCGCTAGACATTGGCTTCAGCTCCCTAGCCGAGAGCCTGTTAGGAGGTGCAGACAAATGTGTTGGTGCCTCACACTGATGACGAGAAATAAGATTATTGAGTTGGTGGTCTGTGAAAAAGGAATAAAGTTCGATTTGGTCCAGAAGCTAGAAAGATACATACATAAAACATTTTAGGTGCTGCTACAAAATATATCTAGCTCTGTATCTATTTTTAGATATATGAAATGAACTGTAGATCTTTCTTATGTGGTTATGCTTACCTGCCTTGCTTCCTATTCAAGGAGCATTACACAATGATTAAGGAGTATGATCATGACTCTTATTGAGACAAGAGTGTCTTGTCAATTAGTAACCTAATTATTGACTGGAGATTGTATCAGAAAATTCCCACATATTCAAATTAATACTGGATTATAAAACTTTCTGCCGTAACTTTGTATTTGTAACATGTGCCTCTGAAGTCCTATCAATAGCTCTTCCCTTGCTCTGTTATTGGGTGCCTTGATTAGAGCAGAGCAAATGCTCCGGCGAGTGTCAGGATTTACTGTTTCTCTGCTCTTTTTGGAGTTACTGTGAAATAGTTCCTAATGCTAAAGAGAGGCTATAACATGCTAAACTGCAGGCATGTAGGAACAGTACAAGGTGTTGTCAGCTATGGGAAAGACAGCCTATTTTCAAAACCTTGTGAATGAGTTAATGCTGTTGCTAGGAAAAGATTTGCCCTTTTACAGATCTGAAGGGAGGTAATGTTGACAATAAGGAGTAGAGGCCTAGCAAGATTTTAAGTTTTTGTGTGACTTTTATTTCGGGGAAAGAAAGGGCATTGACAACAACAGCTGCCTGTAGCACAGCTTCCCCTCCTTTTTTTTACACTTGACTTCTAATGTGGATTCCAGGCATGATTCAGCAAACAGAGGGAAGAAGATTTTTACAGACATGGACTGGCACAGTATTAGAAAAAATGACGGGGGAAAAAAAATGGAATAACAAAATGGGCTGTCTTTATTTGATGCATCTAAAATATGGATCTAAACAAACATGCATAAGCCTTAATTTGTAAGAGTTTTGTGTGGCTCTTGCTTTAACTGCACAGTCATTTGCCGGGAAGGCAGACTCAGGGTAACGGGGCTCTCTGCGCTAACTCAGAGAAGGTCCCAACTCACCTCTAGGCTCAAAATGAAAAAGATAAAACCACTAAATTGCATTATCTGGAGATTCATTTTATTGTTATTTGAGTACATGGCCAATAGACAAAGAATGATTTTGTGATCCGGAAATGCCAGCAGTGGCACTGACAGCTGCGGTACTTCTTCCCTCCTTCCAAACTAAGTGCTCCCTTTCCAAACCTGGGACAACATTTTTAAGCTTGAGGAACAGATTTTAAAGGCAACAGTAAACCTCAGGAGTTCTTCCAGCCTATCCTCATGCCCCAAGACAAGAGCAACTCTTTCTAAACCCCACCTACTAGACTGAAATATTTATATACATAAGCTATTCACCTTAAGTAGGCAACTATGAGGAGGCAAGGGCTGGCCATATATTAAGTTGAAAGCACACTGGGCACACATAATTAGAGGGATAGAAGAGAAAAAAAACTTCTGAGGAAGACAGAAACTTGATCAGTGTGGGAGTGACAGATTTTTTTCAGTTGGTTCTGAGAGTTGGTGGTTATTGTATTTTAGCATATGATTAGAACAGCTTATGTTGGGATATTGTTGAAATCTAATGGACAGTGGATAATCTTCAGCAATTTAAGTATGAATTAAAATGATTAATTTCTCCTTTTGTTGAAATGGTAGCAGTGTGTTTCATGTTACTGGTACAAATAATTTATACAGCTGATGAGAGTAATACTGTATTGACAGCAACATTAGAAAGAAGCCTGTAAATTATGGATGGCAGCACAGACCTTCATAAAGCACCATTTTTCTTTTTGCAACTTTAAATCCCCAGAAGTTTATACCCATAGTGTCCATACCTCCTCCTCTTTAGTAACTGAAGACTGTTCCTCTTTAGTTAAAAAAAAAAAAATCAATTGAAACTGGCAAGGTCAGTCCAAATATTTTTCAGTACCACGTGTGTCCCCTGATGGTTCAGGAGATCTCAAATCTACACGTTTTGTTGGTTCTGGGACTGGCAAAGAAACAGCAGAGGAGGGACTGACAGAGACTACAGAGTGCTGGTGATGTGCACAGAGATGCAAACGTAGCTACCATTTCTACACTAAAGTTTTAATAACGCTTTCGTTTTCTCTTAAGATTATCAGAAATGGAGACTCATCCCTTGTGATCCTATGTTAATTGTGCTGTTTATGATAATAACTTTCTTGATTATTTTGGATGATTTGAGTTCTAAGACTTTTCTCATATATATGTGAGTGCATCTGCATGTTTTAAGATATGAAAATTGCTCTGGTGTATTCCTGTTAAATTGCATGGTAATAACTATAACAATATCCCACATAAATTATGACTGTGGAGACTTACCTACTTGTCCTTGCCTCAACTAATTATATTTCACCCCCATTCACTTTTTTCATGCTGTCACTTCAAATGTATATTTTTTGGTTCTCTAACTCTGCGGTAGCTCTAGTACATTCCCTGACAGCAGAGTGGGTTACAGTTGCAGTGGGGAGACTTGCTGAACTAAACGAACTGAAATGAAAGATATTTTAATCTCTTGACATACAATCCTCAAGTAACTGTATGGAAAGCACTAATTTTTTAAATGAATAAATATTTCTGACACATAATTTAAATGACCAAAACCAGGCACCTCTGGGGACAGATTCGGTGCAGAGGCAGTCCAGCAAGAGGTCAGAGAGAGCACCTCCTTGTTTTTCAGGGCCAGGCCACTGGCGTGAAGCCCAGCATGAGGCCCAGGCTCTCTGGACCATGCGTGAGGAGGAACGGGCTGCCCAGAAGGGCAAGCCCTAAAACCTTGGCCCTCTTGAGGTCCTGGCATTAACCAGCTGGAACCACGAAGGGTGGGATCATAGAATGTTTCCAGGGATGGGGCATCTACCACCTCCCTGAGCAACCTGTTCTAGTGTTTCACCACCCTTGTACGAAATTTCTTTCTCGTATGTAGTCTATATCTACCCTCTTTCAGTCATGCTCTGACTTCTGCCTGTCCTCCAGAGCTCAGCTGTCCAGACCTGCACTTTTAAAATACATTAGCTTATGCTTTATATTGAAGACCCTTGATATGAGAGCACTTGCCCAGGAAGTGACTGACATGAATTCAAGTCCTCCCTCAGTCCAAAAAGATCCAAACTGTTACCCCCAGGAGGGCGACCAAACCCAGGGAGCACCCAAACTACAGCCAGCCTTTCAGCTAAACTATTTATTTTTAGAAGCAATTTACCCTTGAAAAGAACATTCTTCTAGTACACATTTGGCTCTAGGTTTTGTTTTGGGTGGATGGACATCCTCAGAGTGCAGCCTTGCTTGGTAGGGCAACTTTTTGTTGAAAGGGCAGGTCTGGCTGCATGTCTTCTGAGGCTCCAGAGGAGCTGAGGACACGTCATCCCCCATCCCCATGCCTTCTGGTCTGCGTTGTCCCAGGGGAGCACTGCTGTTATTCAGAGACCTCTTTATTCAAAAACTATGCTTTCATTGAGGGATTTTAACACTCTAGAAACTGCCCTAATACCAACGCGACATAAGTTACATAGCAAGCTGTTAGCAAGGTAGGAAATGTATGTACCTGCACCATGAATGCCTCAGTTCACCACTTAGATTTCTGCCATTTACATTTTCTCCTTTTATGAAGCATTTATAGCTCTCTTATATATCCCATTTTACCTTGCATACCCTTCTCGCAAAAATAACGATAAAAAAATTAAAACCCCTCAATGGGAGGAGGATTTTTTTTGTCAAAACACTTCTTAACTTGATAAACAATGAAGTATTTCAGTCAGATTTAAAACCACAATTTCCAAAAATTTTATCAGTTATCCTGGTGACATTGTTACCTTTCTATTCTCTCTGGCTTCTTATACTGTCAAATATTATCAGAGTAGCTAAGCATCTCACGCATAAAATCAATAGCAAAAGTAAAATCTCTACAGGGGTTCGTACTCTCTGGCAATGCTCCCTTTTCACTGGTAAAAAATTTGCTTGAGTCAGGGCTTTTTGTTTGATTTTAAAGAATGAAGGGGGAAAATGTTTAGGAATAAATGTGATATTTGAATCGTGTGAGCTGCGCCTGCGACAAGGAGACTCCTTAGAGGTCCCGGCAGCATCCCCTGAGACCCCCTGGGGTCTCCCCATGCCTGGTGAGGTGGGCATCCATGTGCCCACCTGTACCCGCTGCCTGCGGTGGCACGGGTCAGGGGCGATGACGTGGCTGACCGCAGGCTCTGCCCCGCCACGGGTCGGATCAGCACCTGCAACCGGGCTGGGTGGCCTTTGCACCATGTGGCCCCTGGCAGCCGCAGGGGTGCTGTCCCCGAGGGGGTCGGCGTAAAGCCCTTATTTGAACAATTGACCTCACCTGGCTTCCACACCTTCCCCTGAAATGTTAGATTTCAGTTAAATTGGGTACTTTTATTTGTTTCTAAACCCCTCTCTCTCATCTGTCTGTTGAAGTACTTGGTTCGCCTCCTCCACACCTTTGTGCCATGTTTCTCCCCTCAGGAGTCTCTTTTTCAGGATAAATAGATCCTATTTAGTTTCATATGGAAGCTCTTCCTTAATCTGGATCATTCTCATCTCTCTTGTCTAAAACCTATCACTATCCCCTTTTTTACATCGAGAGACCAGAAGTGCAATGAATTACCTCAAATATGGATGCACCAAGGGTTTAAGCAATGGCTTAATAATGTTTTCTGTTTCTGCTATCTTTTTTCCACCTTTCTGTGCACAGGGACACTGATGAAACCCCCCTTAATAATGTCACCAATGTCATTGTGGAGTTTTCTTTTGTATTGTCATTTGTGTTGCATTTTAGAAAGGAAGAAGTATTTTTAGTAACACGTGAAGCATAAAAGCAGGTGCTGCATCTTTCAGTTTCACAATTTAACCCAAATGGCTAGAACTATAAACTACAATCTAGGCTAGTTTTTTTCCACATAAAATTTCCAGCAGCAGCATATGTGCTTGTCGTGTAGTTGGGGCTGATCCAAGCCATGCAGCAGTGCATTGGATAGGGTCGTGCCCGCAGTTACCCTGCAGTGCTGCGCTCATGAGAAGAGCTGTCAAAGGGCTCCTGGTTCTCCCCCGCGGTGTGCCAGCCTCCCTGGCAGGGACAACTCAATGGAGCCATGGTCTCCTGGAGGTCCCCCGCTCCTTGCAGCGTGTACCCCGTGCTTCAGTCCAGCCTCGTCCTTACTCCAAGAGGAGTTTGGGATCAGTGGTTGGTCTCAGAGTGGTGGCTAATTGCTGCCAGTGTCCCCTGCGCTGTTGGCAGACATCTGTGGGGAGGGCCCTGGCTTTACAAGGTGGGGGACTGCCTGACTCCCATTTAGCAAATCAAACATTGTCAGGCAGGCCCACACGTTCAGTGGGTCCAGGCTAAGTGAATTTGGTGCCAAAGTAATTTAGTTCCCACCCCCCCTCCCCACCATGATGAATTTTCCTCTGAGAGGCCCATGCAGAGCTCACGCTCAGGTTGTTTGTGGTGATGGTTTCTATGAAGATGTGAGCTGACACCAGCACCCGTTTCACATGCAGTTGCTCTTAACTGCAGCCCTCCTTCATGCCACCCATCCTTGTGCCAGCCCACATAAAATAAGCTGCACCGTAGATGCAATTTCCAGTGTTGACACTGATATGGGTTAACCCAAATTTTGGGAGTCTGAGCTAAAAGAGAACTGATTCTTCAGAAACTGCAGGCTATCCAGCACTGGAAAACAAGCATTAGCATTGGCTGTGTTGCCTTAGAGCAACCTCATGGGTGCCTTTAGTTACACTGGGTGCTGCCACCCCTCTGGCTAGGGAAGCAGCTACTGGTATTTGCTCTTTCACTGTTAGTCCTGGAGCAAGCATATTTCAGCCAGATCAGAAAATCTGAGACATCAGTTTGTACTGCTGATTGGCAGCTTTTTCTTCTGCAGTAAGTGCAGTAATAACGGCAGAATATTTCTGTGGTTCCTCAGGACGCTTTGCGAGCAGTCACCTCTGACTGAGCAGCAGAACAGACCATATTCACATATGGGACTCTTTCTCAACTGTGTCATTGCTGCTGTAAGCCTGAGAAACTGTTGTCACTACAGTCCACAAAATTCATATGCTACCACAACCCACAGCCCATTTCCCAGCTTATTCCATGCTGCAGGACCAGTAGTCTAACTATTTTGTATTCCAGGAAGAGTGTGAGCAAGACTGAAGCATTATGAGTTGCTCTTTGTCTTTGCCAGAGCCGTGGTGAAACGTCTTGGTGAAACTCCCAGATGAGCAGAGGATTCAGACCATACTTTGTGTTAGAGAAGAACACCAAAAATAGCTCTGGGGATCAAAAAAAAAAAAAAAAAAAAAAAAAAAAAAAAGAGAGAAGGGTTGTCCT